TAGGCATGCCGAGAAATTCACCTAGATTTGTCGAGAAATCCATCTAGGCATGTCGAGAAATCCATCTGGATCTGCCGAGAAATTCATCTAGATTTGCCTAGAAATCCATCTAGATTGGCCGAGAAATCCATCTAGATTGGCCGAGAAATCCACCTGGATCTGCGGAGAAATCGTGCTGGAATTTGGGAGGATTCTATCATGGAAATCCATGCAAGAATCCTATTCTGGAAATCTATGTAGAATCCATATAGAATCTATACAAATCTACATGGAAATCTAGCTAGATATCTATATAGAAATCCAGCCTCGATTTCTTGATGGATTTTTTTAATAGGGATGGCAACATAAAGTTGACCATGATTAAAAACATCTCTTCGAAGATCAATACCAATTTTATCCAAAGTTTGTCCTTGAGATTTATTAATAGTTATAGCAAAAGCCAATCGAATTGGAAACTGTCGTCTTTTAAACGTGAATGGATATTGATTTTCACAATACAACGTAATTCGATTTAGAAATATAATGTTATTGCGCTTGTCGCCTGTCAATATTTTACATTTTAATAAATGATTAGAAAAATCAAGTACTTGTAATCTTGTTCCATTACACAATCCTTCACTAAGACTAATATTTCTAATCAACATCACTATGAAAAATTTTCGTAAACGTAATCGATGAGGAGGGAAGTTAGGAGGGTTCAATGTGTTGAGATATTCTGGTATAAGTAGTATATTAGTATATATAGTATATATAGTATATTAGTATATATAGTATATATAGTATATATAGTATATATAGTATATACTATATATAGTATATACTATATATAGTATATATAGTATATTCTTCCATATCACCATTATTACAATTTTCAGTGCTATCTATGCCCGTGTAAATATGCTCTGTACTTTTATCTAACAAATTAGTGACTCTATCATTAATTTCATCTACATCAGCATTTCTGGCAGATAAAATTGCACAATGACTAATTTCATCAAATTTTTTCTCTTTTATTAACTTGCCGAAAATGTATTGAACAATACATTCATTTGGCGGTAATATACATTGTTGAGGAAGCTCAATATTATTATCATGATCATTTAATGCTCCATTACCAACATCTAACAAATATTTAGCAAAATCAATTTCATGTGGTAAAACTCTCATGTTAGTTTTCAAATGAAATAATGAAAATAATGTCCATAATTGTGAGTTTTTAATAGATAAATTTAGTATTTCACTGCGCGTTCCATTGACTTTAATCGGAAGCAATTGTCTAAAATTGCCACCTAAAACCATTATTTTACCACCAAATGGTTGATCATTATTCATTATAAATTGTAATATTCTATTTACAATTTCTAGAGCATATCTGGGAGCCATAGGAGCCTCATCCCAAATAAATACTTTAGTATCTTTTAAAATCATGCCTTCATTAGATTGTATTTTAATATTTGAAGATGTATCATTAAACATTGGAACTGGTAAGCCAAAAGTTTTATGTACTGTCTTTCCATTAGGTAGTAATGTTGCGGCAATTCCAGTGTATGCCATTGTTGAACATTTAATATTCTCTGACATTAACAGATTATAAATAGTAGTATAAATAAAAGTTTTCCCAGATCCCCCTTGTCCATCTATATAAAAGCAAGTAGAGCCAATGTAATTATCTGAACGTGATGCTTTCAGAATGTTATCAACTATTTTTTTTTGTTCATCATTTAATTTGTCATATTGTTGATTGCCAATTTCTAATCGATGATTTCCAATATCATTGTCATAATTATTGATAATGTCAATCATTACATTTTTGTCCATTGATGGGAAGTCAGCAATACTTTTTCCTTCCATAATCAAAATATTATTTATTTCTGAGTAGGCTATTTGATAGCTGATATTCAAATCGTTGTTACGTGAAAAATCTTCAGACATTGAATCTTTAAATGTTTCCCATAATTTTTCTGGATAAATAGGTTGACAATGAATCAGTATAAGAACAAATAAATGTCTGAGACGTTTTGGCATCATCCAAGATACTACTTCCCTCATGGCTTTACTCCATTCATCGTCATCTTCAATAATTCCTAACGCCAGACATGCTGCTGTAAAAGATGGATATAAAACATTATTTACTGTTTTCAGATCACCGAAACTGATAGCCCCTTTTACATGTAGTAATAATAATCTTAAATGGAACAGTTCTAATTGTGTTGGGCTTATTGAAAACATGCGACCTATACAATTAAAACGCCTTTATCTAGTTACCCACGATGAAGTAAGTTGACTATCAACTTTTATTTTCTTGTATGTATAATATTTTGGGATTTCTGTATAATAATATTGTCGTGCTGTTTCATTATTTGCATTTAAAATAAAATAATCAAGTAACATACTACTGGAATTATTTAAACTTGATAATAATGATGCATCATCTTCATTCTGCATAATGACTGTTTGTTCATTAGGCAAATGTACTGGTAATCTTATAACGCTGTGACTTTTATCTTGCAATATTTTACTAAAAATTCGATAGCATTTTATCGAGGATTTTACCACAGGACCGACGTAACGGGTTTCAATAAAATTACGGCATTCATCGTGTTCTATAATATTACTATTATCTGCTTGTCCAATGTCGACTGTAGCGGCGTCGTGACCTTTATATATATATTTGTATAAATATTTAACAGCTGTAATACTTGAAACGATTTCCACGTTAATATGGCAATCAAAAATAAGTGATAATTCAGCACAATATGGAACTACCCATCTGTTATCAATTGTATGCCCATTAGAACCTTCATAAACAGATCCGGTATTTGTTCGACGATAATGTGGATAACCATTTTCATCCATAGTAGTATGTGGTTGAAATTCCTTAGGAAAATTTTTTGAACATATGCCTTCTTTCATGCACCAGTCACCGCAAAGTCCATGAATCATATTTCTTATAACGATATCAAATAAACGTGGATGTTGTAATTTTATTGGTATTTCAGCTGATATAAATTTATCAATTATATCGGTTGTAGTAATTTTGTAGCCTTGTTCTAATGTAATTAATAAATGCATGTGAGGTAATCCTCTTTTCTGAAATTCAATCACATGTACGTAAGATGCAACTTTTCCAAAGAATTTTTTTTTTACAACAATGTTAAGCAAATTATCTTTTTTCAAATCAAATACTCTGGCTACTAAATCAGGCCTATCAGCGGTTTGTTGACCTAACAATAAGTTTTTAGATATTTCTGGCCAATTTGGGTTACATGTCATTGTCAGAAAAATATCAGGTTTTCCTGTCTCATTTACAATAGCCATAGCATCTTGGTAACATTGTTGCATATACCTAGGCGAGCCTATAAATGATGAAGGAAGAATCACAGTTTTACCTACACGCCCATTAACATCATTTGCACAATTCCTTATGTGATCATGTAAACCTTTATACGTATCAGCTCGTATTTCTTTTTGATGATTCTTGCAATATTCAATTCTATCTCTTTTAATTTTTACATAACTATCTACGACCCGTTGTTGGAATAGTCTACGTCCTCTTATAATAGGATTGAATTCATTTTCTCTAATAGCTACCCGATATTTTGTATAATCTAAACGTGTGATCCTACGATTCTGATTTTGGCGATGCATGTCCTGATGCCGACCGCGCGTACCATATGGGTAAAATAAAGGATAAATCCATGGTTCTACATTAGGATCCATAGAACTAACAAACTCTAAGATTTTTGTATTTTTATTTCTTATTGTGATATATGATTCAGGTATATCACCATCAGCAGTAGTTGAAAATATTGCAGCAATTTCATTCACTCGTTGAAAGTTATATCTACGTACGTCTTGTCCAGGTTTTATTGAAAATAACAACTGTAATTCTGAAGACGATGTATAATTTCTGATATCTGCAAGTAATTGTTGTAAACGTAATTCTTCTTTCATCATTTCATAAGATTTCGCATAAATATTATTATTACGAATTATACTATCTAAAGTTAACATTAAATCATAATCTGTAAGTGGATTTTGATGAATTCGATAATCGACTGCTTCGTTTTGATCAATTATAAAAAGTTGACCATACGACGGATTTTCACCACCGCTTGGATAAAGAGCTGTATTCATTTGATAATATATTTGTCCATGAATTTTGAAACAGTATGGACCTGATCTACGGGTTTGAAAATTGACTAAATTAGCATTGAATGACGCGAAAGATAAAAAATTATTATAATTACGTATACGATCAAAGAAAATCGATGATTTTTCATGTTCTCCACTGAATAAATTAATAAGTTCAGATAGGAAATCAGGAAATGGATCTAATACTACTGATCCATGACCACAACAGTCATTAAAAGATAGTCCTTTATTAGAAACTTTTTCATCTTTGAAGTGCTTTGCTTGAGAATGTTGGCATAATATGTTTATTAATCCTAAGTAATCTTGTTCAACTACATTTACTTCTGAAATTCGATTACCATCAGCAATACGTTGGCGATCAATTTGTCGTCTACGACGTTGACCTTCTGTTTCTTTTATTCGCCTTTGTCGTTGAGATATCTCTGCTTCTTCATCTGTGCGTTTTCGTCGACCCATATTTTAAAAATTATGTGTGAAAAATAATTATTCGAACAATAAATAAAAAATAATCTAATATTAGACGATGAAGATAAGGTTAATCAGTAGTAGCAATTAAACTGCAATTGTTAAGCACACCTCCTCGGACTTGACTATCGGTGATGTAGCTTATGACTGAAGAGAACTTTGCACAGCAAAATAAGGTTTGCGATGAAAAAAAAAGGAATCTCAAAGAGAAAAGGAACAATGTAAAATATAGTAATGTAAAATAGCATCAATGTCGTTTTGGCTTTTATGTTATTTTAATTTTTTTATATGTGGTATAATATTTGGCTTCGTTAGGTTTGGGAATTAGGTATAATTCTTGGTCTAGTTTGGTTAAGTTAAAATAAAATATATTTATACGTATACAAAACAATTACGATGTAAATAAAAAACTATAAAATTTTTAAGTTATAATCAATTACATAACATACATACATTAAAAAGTATATTAATGTCAGGTACTATAATACTTAAATAAATGTAGAACCTGAAAAAAATAAATATAATAATGAAAAATACAAAAATTTAATTAATTTTAGTATTTCGAAATAAAGATACGAACCATAAGAAACAATGCAACAGAATGGAATATAATTTTTAGTATCTACAATCCAAAAAAGATTTTTTTCCTTACTTAGAAAGAAATGTACTCTTCAAAAACAAAATATGATGTATTTGCAATTCACAATTTGCAGCTGTGGAACCTGAAAAGATGAATGATACTATACTATATATATATATATATATATATATATTATATAATTACAAGAGACATGATATTTGCTTAACTGTTTAAAAATACATTGAAAATTAATGACATATATTAGCTGTAATTATTATAAAATTAAATAAAAACTTCTAGCACCAAAAGAATTTAAAAGATTTCTAAAGTTCATATGAAACAAAAATGATAATTGAACACAGTGTATCAGAAATTTGAACATATGTATATGTGTTTTCTTTTTTTATGCTTTCATAAAGATATTAAATAATGTAGCTTACTAAAAGCGAACACTATGCATTGCCAAATATACGTATATATGCTCTATCATTTATTTAAATATATACTTGAAAAACGATTTAGTATGGATTAGTAACAACCAATGCGAATGCAAAGACTATTAAATAATATCTACAAATGAACTTGATTTCAATTGCAGTTGAATAAGTCATTTTAACTAAAATGTGCGTTACAATAAATATACTTACCAGATATACAGCTGCTTAAATAAAAATATTCAGTACTTTCAATGGAGATTAAATAGTTGATAACCAATACAAATGCAAATGAGATTAAATAACTTGTAAATCTATATTATTCCAAATACTTATATACACATCCGCTGTTGATTTTTACAGTGATGTAATATTTATTGAATATATAAATGTTCAATGAAGAACCTGAAATGATATTTATAATGACATTTTAACTATGATAAGCTAAATGAAAAATATAAAAAGATTATTACATCAAAATGTACAATTTTGTACTTACAATATTGAATAATATTGAAATTGAATACTGTGATCAAAGAAATGAGTACACCATACCATAATTATATTCACATTAACTTAAGATGATATATTTATCACTCGTCTCGTTTGTATGTTACAACTAATGTGTATCGCCTATGTAATCTACTTTTATAGGTTAATAAAATGGAATTTGCATTGGTGATGACAAAATTCAATTTTCAAACGATTGAGGGCGCTATGAATACATTATAATTTATTGAATTGATAACTCACTATGATTTCTATTGCCATTTATAAGTGTGGGTTGGTTTTTTTCAAAAGTGTTTGTCATTTGAAATAATAAAAAAAGAGTTTGCTCTTGATCAAAACAAATCTTGTTAATTCCGATGATGGTGAATTTAAATATTGAATTAGAATTAGGACCATGCAGGAGAAATATATTTGATAAAGAATGTGATATCAGGATAGGATAGGATTTATGTGATAAAAATAGGGTTTTTATTCGAATATAATAACAATAAATATTTTATACAAAACAATTTTTATGCATAGTACTAATTTAAAAAGAAATTACAAAGTATGTTGAAATATTAATTCGAAGCACATCTTGTATTAATCAAATTTTCCTGGTGGGTTGAATTAAAAAAAAAAAATTAGCAGCCGAAAATAATTTTAAGTTTTCAACAAATTATGAAACGTTACTTGAAATTTGTTTACGTTTGTTAAGAATTTTACAGTCTATATATTACAATCATAATCTCACTTGTCTTAATCTTAATTAACCTATACATCTAACTATGTATTTAAATAACATTACGTTCAGTCTACTCATTGGTATCGTTAAGTAAAAGTTACATAAGAATGACGATAAATTAATTCCTATCAGTAAAGTTTACATTTCTATAAAAGTTGTACACTAAATTTACTATTCACAGATAATATCTTTTAATCACTTAAATATAATATAAATAAGTTATTATATTATTAAAAATACTGAGATGTGCCATAAATAATAAAATGAAAAGAATTCTAATGAATGAACGTTTAAAAAAAATGGAAATAAATCAAATCAATTTTGATTACTGCAGTCCTCTTTTAGGGGTTTTTACTCCACGTGCAATTGCTGCAGCTGACATTTTTGGAGCTCCTTCCACTTCAATAATAGAATTCGCATCTTTACATTTTATAGTAATAGGTCCTCCTGTTTAAAATTACAAATAATTATTATTAATTTTTATACGGTGAAAGCAATATTTTTTGTTATACATTATATATATACCTGACATATCAACCTCTCCTATCACTTTTACGCGCACTCCTTTTTCAAAATTCAATTCTGTATAATTGCTGACATGTACAGTGACCTTCGATTCTCCATCAGTAATAGCACCACAGCCATAAACCCCACTCTTGTATTTGAATTCAGACTTGAAAAATTTAATTTTTATATTTCCTTCTATGCCTACAAAAAAATATACATGTTTATAGCGTTTATTAATTTATTCTAAAAAAAACAAAAAATTTAATTTACTCACAAACTAATCCCTTAACTTTTCCAATTTTGCTAAATGTTACATTTCGTATTTGAACTTTCTCTTGAACATTGTCAATGTTGCGTTGGCCAAAATATTCAATAACTGTCCCTTCTTTGATTAATAGTTCAAAAGGAACATGGTTGTTGGCTTCCTTGTAATAATTTAAGACAACAGCCTTAGTTACAGCTCCTTCAATGTGAACAATCTGTAATAATACAGGGTGACCTATTTTAATCGCTACACCTGGATTTTTCGAATTCCAAGACAGATAGGAAAAAATGGTTCAGACAAAAGTTGTAGGGGACGAAGGGGGCCAAACAATGGTCCTAACAAATTTGACCTTGAACTTGACATTCAAGGTTATTTCAAGGTCAAGTGGTTTTTTTGAATAGGAACACCTATTTTCGACCCCGGATTTGGAAAGAGCGGAAAATTTCACGTTCAAAACCATATTGAGACATTTTTTTCACGGTCATTTCAAGGTCAAAGCAAGGTCAAACTCCGAAAAATCCATTTTAAGTCGTTTTTCCACGAGTCACAGGCTTAAGTGGTTCAAACTGATCGTAGATTTAGTTACATCACTTAATTAAAGTAAGCCTTCGCCTCACACTGTACGGCGTGCTTGATTTAAGTGAGTCCCTTCGCCCCTACCTTGAAATACTAATTTCCGATTGTCGCACCACGATAATTACTTCAGCTTTCTCCTAAAAGTAACGTCGTTTCAATAATCTTCTTAGGCTGATAGTCAACCATTTAAGAGCCAGCCATTAATTACTATTAAATTTAAATAGTAAAATGGTATCAAAAATATTAATAATTATAATATTCGCCTGTATGTGGTTGCGACTAAAAAAGAAAAACGTTTGTCACACTTTATTAATTGTAAATTTTATAAAAAACTAATTTGATGCTTTTTGTAAAAAACAGAAATGTTGTATCTTTATTTATTTTTTCGAAAGTTATGAGAAAATTGAAGATATGAGCTGTAAATAATGTGATTGTTTAAAAAGAATAGTCATAACTTTTGAAACAATAAATATGCAACATTTCTTTTTTGTACAAAAAGCATCAAAGCTATTTTTTCTAGAATCAAACTATCAAAAATAAAGTTTAATATTAAAAATGTGCGGAAAATATTTAAATCGGTCAGCAGTTCAGATATTATTACAAGAATCTTTGACTGAACAGAATTTATTTGTAAATGTGCTTTTAATGATTACATTATCAATATTAGTATTTTTTAAGTTTGAACGGAAATAATTCACAATATTTAAAATAAAAGCAAGTTTTAGTATTATGTGCAATTCAAATTAGAAATAATTTAATGATTATTACTTTATTATAAAACTTACAATTACAAAAGTGTGACAATCGGAACACTTGTGGCAAACACACTTAGTCAGATAAAGTTACCGTAATCAAGGAACATTTTTCGTTTTTGGTCGCGACCGTATACGGGTGAATATTATAATATTATTATTTTTTATACCATTTCACTATTCAAATTTAATAATAATTAATAGCTGCCTCTGAAATGGTTGACTACGCGCCCAACGAGATCGTTGACATGACGTTGGCTTTAGGAGAAAGCCGAAATAATTATCGTGCTGCGGCAAGAATTTATGCTGAACGCTATCAAGACAGACGACACCCCGAAGCTATGGCTATCAGACGTTTAACTCAAAGAGCTCGTGGTGGACACATCGTTCGTCAACGTGGGCGCCATCAATATGATGAAAATGATACTCGGGTTGTGACTATTCTGGCAATAATTCATCTTGACCCACAGATAAGCGCTCGTCGAGTCGAAAGGGAAATCGGTATTCCAAAAAGTACATTTTTAAGAATTATGAAGGTGCTTAGATATCATACATATCATATTACTCTGGTCCAAGAGCAACAGTTTGCTCATTTTTAACAGCGTATTGTGTTTTGCAAATGGGCTTTACAAATGATAGAAAATGATCCAGACTTTTTTAATTTTGTTCTTTTTTCTGATGAGGCAAAATTTCAAAGTGATGGGGAATTGAATAGACATAATTGTCATTACTGGTCTGATGTTAATCCTCATTGGGTCAGAACTGTAAACCATCAAAGACGTTGGAGTATTATGGTATGGTGTGGGATTATTAATGGATATTTGATTGGCCCTTACTTTTTCGAAGAAAATGTTAGTCAACACACGTATTTAACGCTAATAAGAGATGAACTACCTGTATTGATGGAAGATGTTGACTTAGAAACGCGACGGAGAATGTGGCTCCAGCAGGACGGCGCAGCACCACATTTCGCTCGAATTGTCAGGACTTTTTTGAATAATCAGTACGGTAACAGATGGGTCGGGGTGGTCCGGTTGAATGGCCTGCTTGCTCACCCGAGCTTACATCACCAGATTTTTACTTATGGGGGTACTTAAAAAATGCCGTTTTTGCGGAAAGGCCCACCACAAGATTAGACATGATGGACAGAATTCGTCGAGCTTGCGATGCCATTCCAAGGCAAACTTTGCTAAACACCGTTCGACACTTCCAAAGGCGTTTGACATCATACATGGGATAGAGATGTGTGGGACTGGGGGATGTCTGGTGTAATAGTTTAGCATGTGAGGCTATGAAGAGAATGGGGTTCGGATGTGCAAGTTCGATTTTTGTTTACTAGGATGTGAAAGTTTTGGGTGCATGGGTTTCCGTTTTAAATCAACGATCAATTTGAACCACTTAAGCCTGTGACTCGTGGAAAAACGACTTAAAATGGATTTTTCAGAGTTTGACAATGATTTGACCTTGAAATGACCGTGAATAAAATGTCTCAATATGGTTTTGAACGTGAAATTTTCCGCTCTTTCCGAATCCGGGGTCAAAAATAGGTGTTCCTATTCAAAAAAACCACTTGACCTTGAACTAACCTTGAAGGTCAAGTTCAAGGTCAAATTTGATAGAACCATTGTTTGGCCCCTTTCGTCCCCTACAACTTTTGTCTGAACCATTTTTTCCTATCTGTCTTGGAATTCGAAAAATCCAGGTGTAGCGATTAAAATGGGTCACCCTGTATATACATATATATTATATATATAAATATTTAGTTTTAATATAATTTTTTCAGAAAAAAATGTGTTATCAACGTCAACTCACTCTTCCAATTATAATTTCATCTATATATTTCTGTATCAGACTTTTACCCCAGATCAAACAAACAATCCTTTTTGAACAGCCGTTGTTGAGCACAAACTTGAAAAGATCGTATTTGGCTTTGCTGCCAACTACAGCAGGAGCATGGACCTCATCAACATATCCCACTAATTTAAAAAAAGTAATTTAGATATGCGTAATACG